GCCATACTATGAAAGTCTGGGAGAGAGTGGTAGAGCTAAGGGTGAGGAAGAGGGTGTCTATTTTCGAGAACCAGTTTGAATTTATGCTGGGGCATTTGACTACAGAAGCCATCCACTTTGTTAGGAGATTGGTGAAGCAGTATAGGGAGAGAAAGAAGGACTTGCATATGATGTTCATCAACTTAGAAAAGGCGTAAGATAAAGTTCTGAGGGAGCTTTTGTGGAGATGTTTGGAGGCTAGAGGTATACCTGTTGCTTATGTTAGGCTGATTAAGGATATGTATGATGGAGTACACACCCAAGTGAGAATGGTGGGTAGGGACTCGGATCATTTTCCGGTTATGATGGGGTTGCATCAGGGGTCGACACTCAGCCCTTTTTTGTTTGCTATGATGATGGATGTACTGACGCGTCACATCTAAGGGGAGGTGTCGTGGTACATGCTATTTGTAAATGATATTGTATTGATTCCAGGGTCTGCCTCCATACCTCTAATTGCAAACCAAGAAAGTAGCGTATCTGAAGCTAGTGAAAAGTGTAGACGAGGAGGAGAAGAGGGTGAATAGGGAGCATTATAAGTTGGCTAAGAAAGAGGCAAAACTAGCAGTTACGGTGGCCAAAAATGCAGCTTTTAGTCGTTTGTATGAGGAACTCGAGGGTCGAGGTGAGGATACGAGGTTGTTCAGGTTAGCCAAGGCGCGAGAAAGAAAGACGCGTGACTTAGACCAAGTGAAGTGCATCAAGGACGAAGAAGGTAGAGTTTTGTTAGATGAGGGGCTTATCCGTCGGAGATGGCAAACCTACTTCCATAGTCTCTTGAACGAGGAGGGGGACAGGAGCATTGTTCTGGGTGATTTGGAACTCTCCGGGAGTCATTGGGACTTTGGGTATTGTAGCCGGATTAGATTTGACGAAGTTGAGGGGGCTATGCGTAAGATAAGTAGGGGCAAAGCGACCGGGGCGGATGAAATCCTAGTGGAATTTTGGAAGAGTGCGGGCAAAGCAGGTTTGGAGTGGCTCACTAGGTTATTTAATGTCATTTTTAGAACGAATAAGATGCCCGAAGAGTAGAGGTGGAACACGATGATTCCTGTATACAAGAACAAGGGTGATATCCAAAATTGCAATAACTATCGGGGTATCAAGCTGCTTAGCCATACTATGAAAGTCTGGGAGAGAGTGGTAGAGCTAAGGGTGAGGAAGAGGATATCTATTTTCGAGAACCAGTTTGGGTTTATGTCGAGGCGTTCGACTACAGAAGCCATTCACCTTGTTAGGAGATTGATGGAGCAGTATAGGGAGAGAAAGAATGACTTGCATATGGTATTCATCAACTTAGAAAAGGCATACGATAAAGTTCCGAGGGAGCTTTTGTGGAGATGTTTGGAGGCTAGAGTTGTACATGTTGCCTATGTTAGGCTGATTAAGGAAATATATGATGGAGTACAGACCCAAGTGAGGACGGTGGGTAGGGACTCAGATCATTTTCCAATTATGATGGGGTTGCATCACGGGTCGGCACTCAGCCCTTTTTTGTTTGCTCTAGTGATGGATGTACTGACGCGCCACATCCAAGGGGAGGTGTCGTGGTACATGCTATTTGCAGATGATATTGTATTGATTGACGAGACGCGAGACGGTGTGAACGCGCAATTAGAGGTATGGAGGCAGACCCTAGAATCTAAAGGTTTTAAGTTGAGCATGACCAAGACAGAATACTTGGAGTGTAAGTTCAGTGGCGAGACTCAAGGGGGGAAGGGGAGGTGAGGCTGGACTCGCAGGTCATCCCTAGGATAGAGAGTTTTAAGTACCTTGGGTCTATTATTCAGGGGGGTGTGGAGATTGATGAAGATGTCACACATCGTATTGGGGCGGGATGGATAAAAATGGAGACTCGCTTCCGGTGTTTTACGTGACAAGAAGGTGCCACCGAAACTTAAGGGTGAGTTCTACAGAGTGGTGGTTAGACCAACGTTGTTGTATGGGGATGAGTGTTGGCCAGTCAAGATCGCTCATATCCAGAAGATGAAGGTAGCAGAGATGAGGATGTTGATATGGATGTGCGGGAACACTAGGTTAGATAGGATCAGAAATGAGGTTATTCGCGACAAGGTGGGTGTGGCTCCTATTGAGGACAAGATGTGGGAAACGCAACTTAAGTGGTTTGGTCATGTGAGGAGGAGGAGCACAGATGCCCCAGTGAGGAAGTGTGAGAGGTTGACATTGGAGGGCCTACAGAGAGGTACATGTAGGCCAAAGAAAAGGTGGGGAGAGATGATTAGGCAAGACATGGCGCAACTTCAGCTGACCGAGGACATGACCCATGATAAGAATGTATGGAGGTGGAGGATTAGGGTAGTAGAGTAGGAAGTCTAGAGTGTTCATAACAGTAGTATTGGCACACAGTCTCGCTTTGTGTGAGCAGTAGGTTTTTATGACTAACCGTTGTTTTCTTTCATTGGGGATTACCTATTACCTTGTTATTTTTATTCTGCTTTTATATGGTTTTTTGGTACTGTCCCTTCTTGTCTATATTTCCATTAATGTGGTGCTTATGCTTTCCTGAGTCGAGGGTCTATTGGAAACAACATCTCTATCCTCACAAGGTAGGGGTAAGGTCTGCGTACACACTACCCTCCCAAGACCCCACGGTGTGGGATAAGACTAGGTATGTTGTTTGTTTTTTTGTTTGTTATCTTTAATGAGAAACTTTTATACCCACATAAATATCATTGTCCCACAAAACTTTTGCCCCTTGAGCTTTTAGGACCACATATTTCAAAAAGTCTTCTTTTTATTCTTAAATTTTGTGTTAAATTGAAACCGAGGGAGTAAAACTTATACTCCTTCCGTTCCAATTTATGTGAACTTATTTCTTTTATGATCCGTTTAAAAAAGAATGACCCATTTCTAAATTTGGAAACAATTTAGCTTAAACTTATAATTCTACCCTTAATGAGAAGCTTTTAAAACCACACAAATACGTTGCGCCCCTTTTTGACTTATTTAGGACCACAAATTCTAAAAGTCTTTATTTTTTTCTTAAATTCCGTGTCTAGTCAAACAAGTTTACATAAATTGGAACGGAGGGAGTAATAAGTACTCGGTACAATTAAGACTTGTGGATGCTTCTTCCTAAGCTTCATATATCAAATAGTGTAATACTCCACATTAAATAAAGGCTATTTATGTAATTATCTGAAAATAAAATGGAAAAGAAACAAATATATATATATATATATATANATTAAAGGGTATTTATTGGAGAGGAAGCTTAGCGCAGCAAACAAAAACCGGAAGAAAAAAAGAAGAAGAAGAAGAAGAAGAAGAACAAAACATTAGAGTAAAACGAAGAAGCTGAAGAAAACATTACAAATCCAGCGTTTTCAATTGAAAACAGAGAGGGAAAAGAAGAGAAACATAGAGATTTGAGGGTGTTCATATCAGCAAAAAGTTTTGCATTGCAACGAACTAAAAGCCACACAATAGCACCTGAGAACTCTAAGCACTTTTGAGTACTGCAGGTACCATCTAAACTCTTAATTGAGTCATATGTACAGTACAGATTCTTTACTTAGTTCTTTTCTGAAAATTTAGCAGTTTATATAGATTGTGAATAGATTATTTATATACTAGAAATAGACAGAGGTGCATGTGTATATTTTTGGTGAAGAATTGGATGAAATAAATTATATGAACAAGTCAAATTGATAGATTTTGAACTAGTTGAATTACTTATAGCATGAGAAAAAAAACAAAATAATAATTTGACCAATTAAGGGTCAATCATAAACCCCGAGAGTTGGGTATCCTAAATTAGTTATGAATTAGCCTAAACAAGAAAATTAACACGAGATTGATGTGATGTGATTATAGATTGATTGAAGGAAGTCGTACGGATTGCTTGAGGTGAACACCTGGTATTTCGACAAGAGTTCTATGAGTAGTAATCTTACCGCAATTTGTGTTTCCATAACTTGTATGGTTTACACATAATTTTATTATGAATATGTTTACCGATTGTTTTGAATTTGCATGTGGGACAAGTCATTTACTTGATATGATACCGAAATATTTATTGAGATGATTACCGTTACTTTAAATATTCTCTGTTACTAGACATGTTTTACCATTACTTGAGATATGATCATCGTTACCGAAATGAAATTTCATGCTTTGATAAGAGCTGATATGCCCTGTACTGTTTTGAAAATATTTTCATACGAGTATTTACTGATTACAAGGACAAGTATAAATGGGAGGAGACTTTGAAGGATCCCGTAGCTAATGGCGGGTTCGTTAGACCTGGTGCACCTTGTAAATTCTGGATTACCAATTACCGTTACAGCCCTCACTAGTGGGAAGGTAGAACCAGCATACCGTTACTGAATTCCCTCGAGTAGGGACTACCGTATGTTCTTGCAAAGAGGTCCAAAGTTATACCGATTACATGATCTATTCCTGGAAACCTCCCAAACATAATAATTGATATGATACAGTATTACCAAGTTCATTACCAAATAATTGATTGATTTCTGTCTACATGAAACACATGATGAGACTGATTATTGTTTACCGGTTCTGAAAGGGCATTTTATGATATTTTTTGATTATTAATATATTGACAAATTTTTTGACCTGTCCCCATTAAAAACGATTGTGGTTAACTGTTATTACTCACTGAGCTAGCGACTCACTCCCCGCTATTTTTTTTACTGTGACAGTAGTTGCACATGTGAGAATTTTGTTAGCTAGAGCATACGAGATGACAATTCTAGTGACTCACGCATTGCTTTATATAGGCAAAGAGTTTATTTAATGGTTATTGTTCTTTTCTTTAAAGCTCTTAGAGTCGCTCCGTAGTTATTAATAATGTCATGAGTATTAGTTTATTGTTTTAGACTTGTTGACTAGATCAGACTTTCTTATCGTATTTTAGAGATAGATTTAGCATCAGTCTCTTGCAAGTGGTTGATTAATAGTAGTGGAGAACTAATTGGATAGTCGATGAAGATTATGAATTATTTTTGTTGGATATTGGTTGGCTTTATTGTTGCTTTCTGGGACGCTTTCTGGGACAGGCAATTTGTGGATAGTTCTAAAATAGGGGAAACTCTGTCGTTTTTCTGTAAATTACCGATAAGGCTTACTTGGGGGCACTTGCTCCTAAGCGCCGGTCATGATCCTAAATTGGGTCGTGACATATAGCGATCTAGTGATAAATGTCAAACAATCTGAGTAGAACAAGATATCGTGAATGGAAAAAGCTTATCCGCCTAGTGTATTTATAAAACCAAAAGTGGCGAGACATATATTGAGTAAAATTCATAATGTTTGATCACTTACTATACTCTATGTAAATATAGTGCCTAAAAATATAAAACTAAGAAATTTTTTCCTTCAAAAACTAAGCGAATAAGTTATAATATAATAAAAGAAAAAGAAATTATTTTGACATTTATGTCAATTTTGTCGTCTATAAAAAGACATGATATAAGGAAAAATATATGGTATAAGAAAGAAATATATAGTATATATGTACTTTAGTAATAATTTTATACAAAATAAATCGAAAAATATTTTAGGGCAATATTGGAGTCATCTAGTCCTTCACGGATCTCAAACGTACATCCAAATTCCTTGTAGCGGGTTCATGGGCACTAATTCCCATTGATTTCCAGTCCAATCTCCCTCGGCTGCGAAATCTTGCTCTTCTCCGCTTGACTGGTAAGTTCTCCTTTTGTTTCTGAGATAGACCCCAATCCCTTTTTCCAATTAATTTCAAATTACTCCAAATTCAGTTGTCCCAAACTGGCCTCTGTGTGGAGAGGTTAGTATGTTCCTTCTCTATGTAGTTTGTAATTTGGTCTACCAAAATTAAAAGTTTGTCGAGAGGGGTTTGTTCATAGTGCATTTCACTTTGATTGAAGCTATTTACTTATGCTTATAGATTTCTCTGTGCTTGATTTGGCATTAAATTTCATATTATTGTGATCAGGCACATGAGCTGTTATGTCCTTTTGTTTAATTTTCTCATTTTAGTTTGACCTTCCAGAACCAATTTATGTCATCTTAGTATCATTCTCTCTGGATTGCTTAGAAGCAACCAGATCAACAACAACAACAACCCAGTAAAATCCTACAAGTGGGGTATGGGGAGGATAGTGTGTACGCAGACCTTATCCCTACACCGAGTGAGTAGAGAGGCTGTTTCCGATAGACCTTCGGCTCAAGAAGGGGAAAAGATACATTATATCAGTACCATAAACAGAAACCATAGAAATAATAACAGCATCATAAGGACCAGAAAGTAGATGAAAAACAATAACAATAACTTAGAAGCAACCAGATCAAATAGATTTATTTATTTATTTTAATAGTTGTGGTGTCCGGGCCAACTTGCACACACTTCGACTAATTCCACGGTATATCTGTCACTTCCCACCAACAATAGGTAATAGGTAACCTCCCACCAACAATAGGTAATAGGTAACCCTGAACCAGATCAAATAGATTTAAGTTTCTGTATTCAACTAGTTTAATATATACTCTTCAGCTTCTTACTTGTTCTTCCCCTAGATAAATTTTCGATAATATCCTTGTTCAAGAATTTCTTGCTCAGCTTGTCCGATCTGTTACAAATGATTTTAGGCACTTTATGTACTGGCATTGCCTACTCCACCTTGTTTGGGACTAAGCATAGTTGTTGTATATACTGGCATTATGTAGTTTGGATGTGTAAGCCGAACCATCTTTTTGTGAGGATTGCTACTAGGTTGTGACAGAATGATCCTTCTCATCCATATTGTTTACCATGGAAGTATCAGCACCGTCTTAAAAATGGTGTTTCTTCTGTAGTATTTTGGGGAGAAAACCAAACTTGAAGTACAGTATCCTTTTTTTGATATGTGATTATCAAGTTATTGTAGTATCCCAAAAAGAAATAAGAAATGTCAAGGGCTGCTTTTACGAATTCCCTTCTAATTGTGTCATTAGCCTTACTGTATTTTTATTTTAGGGTGAAGGATCCATCCTTTCTTCTCTTTTACCTAATATATTAGAAGAAACTGAGTCAATTGTGATAAATTAAATATTCTGCAAAAATGCATTTTGGAGAGGGGAAATATCATGTGTGGGCTGTCATTTTTTTCACTAATTGCTGTTTGTTTTGCAGCTGAAGCCTTAGATAAATCATGGTGAACGCCATCAAAGGATTGTACATATCATGGTAAATTACAATTTAGAGCAAGCAAATATAACCAAATATATTAGAAACTAATTGGGTCAGAACGCCCAAGATCTTGATTTGGGCTAAACTCATGATTTCTACATCTGCTGTAATTAAATTGGTTTAACTACACATATTTATAAAGACTACTGCATTCATTTTATCTCTGTTCGAATCTTAACATATAATTCCAACGCCAGCTTTATTTCAAATATTTTTGCTTCTTTTAGAATGCTGAGATCTGCTTTCTCCCTTTGCAGTGATGTACCCATGGCACAGTTCATTATCAATATGAATGCTGCATTGCCCCAGTCACAAAAGTTCATAATACAGGTCTTGGACAATACACATCTCTTTGTACGATCTGATGTTGCTGGAATGATCCGTAGTGCTATTGCAGAATTTAGAGAGGCAAATACCTATGAGAAGCCTGCTTAGGCTGTTTGATAAAGTCTTTCTGGAATAAACCTTGGACCGTGCACCTTTTTTTCCCTTGATTCAAAGAATTGAACCTTTGCCCTGTGCTTGAGTACAATCTTTTGTGGAGTTACTATGGGGAAAAGAAAGATCCAAGATTTAAAAAAAAAAAAAAAAAACAAATAGTCATCTCTGTGACATCTACGAAGCAATTGATGGACGACATTTGCAGCTCCAGCTTTCATTGGTTCTGCTTCTGATTTTGTCTAAGGTGCGAGTTAAATTAAATTCTGTGTCTGAATATTTTTTTTTACTGTTTTCTGAACATGTTGCTATATATTTCTCACATGTTCTCCCTGTGATAAGATCTTTGTATTGAAGAGATAATTGGATTTTCTGTTGTGTTCTATCAGTTGTAAAGCAAATTGGACCAAGGTGTAGTGACTTCTTATCAGTAATATTTTCCCTTTTTCTCCTTTCTGAAAATTGGTGATTTCTTTTGGAGTACTATAAATTATGAAGTATATGCTCTCGAACAAGGATTCAGAATAAGTTGTCACCTCAAACTATTAGTTGCAATTACTTAACAAGATTTTGTTATTCAGATTGTTTTGGAGTTAATCTTATCATTGGCCCTTATTTAGAAGAAAAAGAAAGGGAAAAGGAAAACACAAGAAATAAACAATGCGCCATGGATTTGGATTTACTCTTATCTCTGTAACAGTACTTATGATGTGAATGTGAAGAAATATTGGTATATTATCCATGTTAAGATATATTTGATCATGTTATAATCATTTATTGTAACATGCCTATTCACATGACCTAAGCCAAGTCAAGCGTTTCAATGCTCAATGCTCCCCAAATGGCTGTGGTATGGCTTTACATTTTTGTTAAGGTTGCTTGTTTACGAGTATAGCGAATCTTCTGCTACTTTACCCCAAAAAGAACTTCTAGTCCAAAAAGAAAGGTTAAACTAGGCCCATAGTCGAAGATAGTTTTGGTGCGAGGTGTAAAAAATCATGAGTAAATCCCCCATAGGAAACAACAAACAGCTGGAAAAACAAAGAAGAAAGTGAAATCTACTGAAAGCAAAGAGAAAACCCACAAAGGACATGCTACAATACTTCTGAATAGGGGTGTACAAATAAAATCGATAAACCGCACCAACCTGATAATTCGAGTCAAATCGAAAAAAAAACCCTGACTATGGTTTGGTTTGATTTGGTTTGGTGTTGGAAAAACAAAACCCGACCATATTTGGTTTGGTTTGGTTTTAACTAAAAAAAGTCAAATTGAAACCAAACCAACCCGACATTATATGTATAAAAGTTTTCAATATATTTAATTCATAAAAATATTTATGGTAGTGTAGTTTATAAATATTTTTTAAGCTTTTTCATAGTTTTATCTTTTAACGTATTATTTCAAGGTTGAGCTTATAATTTTTGGATGCTCCTATAAGTTTTAGAGTCCATAAATATTAGTAACTCGAATAAATTCTAAACCAAAATCAAATCAATACTAATGCTAATAAAAGACATTCAATTCAATTGTACTATGAATGAAAATAGTGTTGGATATCTAGTTTTTAGTTTTTCCATGGTTTAGATAAAATGTATAACTTATTTTTCTTTTAGTGGTTAGTCATGTAAATAATAGTAGTACTTATTAGTCATAATTTTAAATTATGTGTTTGTTTTCATTATGACTTATTAATAATGTTTATTTTATGCGATTTTATTATCTTTATTGTTGAATATTTTAGTACAATGTCATGACTCATTTCGTATTTATGTTATTTTATTGAAAAATACCTTATATAGTTATGTCTTACTAGGATTAAAGAAATATTTGGAGCATAAATTTTATGTTTTGTGCTATGAAGACTTTATGGAGAAAAGAAACCCCGAAAAAACCCGAAAACTCGAGAAAAACCGAGATTAAAAAACCCGATTTTTATTGATTTGGTTTGGTATTTAGATTTAATAACCCGATACAATTAGTTTGATTTGATAATTAGAAAATCCGAACCAACCCGACCCATGTACACCCCTACTTCTGAAGCACGTGTGGTTCGACAAAATTAAAACTGCTTCACTTGCTCTCGAGGGAATAGCACAGAGCTCTCGAGGGTATGTTTGGTAGTTTGTAATATATGTGCTTCACTATTGTTGTACCTAAAGGCTTCATATATAGATATACTACGGCACAACTCTTTTTCCGTGTTGACTATTGTACTTAACTTCTAGCGTTGCTTCAATGGCAATTGAAAAGTCATAAAGTAGTTCTTGATTATATTTTAGACATCATTAAATCAAAATAAAATTGATTAATAATGTATCATATACTTCAAAATTTTGAGTAATACCGACGCTGCTTTGTACTCCTTGCCATTGTTTGGATAAGTTTTCAAAAAATAAAATTAAATTAAGGATTAGTATTTGGTTAACAGATAAAAAGGAGCTTCCCGAGAACTATTGTGTAAACTCCTCAAAACCTTAAAAAATTTGGCATGGCTATTTTATTTGAGTATGTACTCCTTTAATAAATATATATATTTTGTTCCATATTTGCTTAAATTGATATAAATGAAAAATGGGAAAGAATGTAGCCAATATAATCAAACGTTCAAATCTTAAAGATATTATTTTCCTTATTCATATTCAAATAGCTATGAACTTCTCTGGTGGAGAATAAGTGTCATTTCAGCTTAATTAATTTGGCAAAAACAGATCGATGTTCGTTTGAAAAAGCAAGAACAAATTTATTATAGTTTTTCAAATCTATCCTTAATCCAATAAATAATCTATAAAATATAAGAATATATAAAGAGTAATTTGAAAAGATACAACAAAAATTTATTAAATAACTCTTATATTATTGATACTAAATGATTTTCTTAATGAGTGTGCAAAAATTTAAATGACATTGACCCAATTTTAGATGGTAGAGTACATGCTTATTCCTAATTTAATTAACTTGACATTGTAAGTAAAAATCATGACGTTATAAGTAAGAATTTATATTGTTAACACGGATAAGTTAAGCTGGACATTTACTCATGCTAGCTAATTAATACAACATTATTATGAAGAAAGCTCCATTTCAATTTTATGAGAATATATAAAGAGTAGTTTGAGAAGATATAACGGAAAATAAGTTAAGTAACTCTTATATTNGCATTGTAAGGAAAAATCATGATGTTATAAGTAAGAATTTATATTGTTAACACGGATAAGTTAAGCTGGACATTTACTCATGCTAATTAATGCAACATTACTATGAAGAAAGCTCCATTTCAATTTTATGAGAATATATAAAGAGTAGTTTGAGAAGATATAACGAAAAATGAGTTAAGTAACTCTTATATTATTGATACTAAATGATTTTCTTAGTGAGAGTGTTAGAATTATAAGTGACACTTATTTTAGACCGTAGATAGCGTTACCTGAGAACTTATGCACGACTATTTTAATTAACTTTACATTGTAAGTAAAAATGTAATGTCCTAAATAAAAATTTATTGTTAACATGAATAAGTTAAGCTGAACATTTACTCATACTAATTAATGCAACATTATCATGAAGAAAACTCCATTTCAATTTTAATTTTTCAGGTAAATTGGCCTAACAAAATTAAAATTAACTTTACGATTGTTTAAACATGAATTCTAATATGAGTTCTTTCATAGAAAAATAAAAGGAAGAAAAAGGAGAAAAAATGGCATGGTATGACAATGCATAAGAGAATTGACAGTTTTTAGCCTTACGTTAGGTTTGACAACAGAAGGCCAAAAAAATTAACACCTAATAACCAAAATGATTTTTATTAATTATAGTAAAAAGCATTTAGAACCCTCTATCTCTCTTCTCTCTTCTAGCGGTCGCAGCCATGTTCCTGGAAATTAAGTTTCATTTCCATTAAAGTTTTTGTTTAAGTAGTTTAGCATACGTATTCTCTTCTGTTTAAATATTTTTGTTCACTATATTAATGTATAATTGGTTTAGAGCAAGTTCTAAAATATAAAAATAACAAATATAATTATGGGAGTAAATAATTTTGATATACAAATAAAGAAAATAAATTTTTGATATAACATGTTTAGAGCAAGTTTTAATATAAAAATAATAAATATAATCGTTGGAGAAAAGAAATTTTTGATATACAAAGAAGAAAAATAAAATTTTGATATATACAAAGAAAAGGACAGCCCGGTGCACTAAGCTCCTGCTATGCGCGGGGGCCGGACAACAAAAGTCTATCGTACGCAGCCTTACAAAGAAAAAAAATAAAATTGTGATACATTTTAGTGTACACATTATTTGATGTATTATACACTTAGATATACAAGTAATACAATTATTTTTGTTGTGATATATATTGATATAGAGACAACAATAAATTTTAAATAGCTATACATATTATATTTTAGATATACAAAGAAGGAAAGTAAAACTTTGATATACATTTTGATATACATAAAGAAGGAAAATAAAGTTGTGAGATACATTTTAATATACACATTAATGTTGTAATATACGTGTATTGGTTACATAGTATCAATATCTATAACTATAGCTTTTTCTACTAATTATGTAGGTACGTTGTCATACCATGCCAAAAACCAAAAAAACAATCTCCGCATAATGTTATTGGGCCCGTGCACAACACTACTAGTATTTGTAATAGAGGCAAATCCACCAGTTCACATACATGTCTTGACGCGAATAGCAAAGATGCCCTACACCTGCTAAACACTAGAAAGAAAACCTCATCTATGCTGAAATTATTTTTGTTGGGACCATTATACATCTACAATCAGACACCAGATTGGAAGGGCAAAAAACAAAATTTCTAAAAAACTAGTTAAATTTACTAACAGACCTCACCAGAAATGGACATGCCAGCACAAGGTTTAAAGAAAAACAACAAATAGCTAGGAGTGAGATGGATCAATAGGAAGTGAAAGAAATGCAGCTATCTTAGTTCACGTTAACTGATAAACTCCATTTCGACAAAAACCTATGCAGGTTGAGATACATTGATGTCAGCAGGCTTATTCCTCGAGTCGGGGGCTAATGATGACCAGTTATCTTCATGGAAGGAAGAATACGATACTACAGTTGGTTTTGCTGATGATGAGTGATAGGCGTTTTCCATATCTGTACTAGATAGAGGAACAGCTGCAGCTATGGGCTCGGACTTGTTTTTCTTGGTCGTCTGCTCGTGCTGAATTCCAGCAAGGAAGCTGCCCACAACAATCTGATTCACACAAAAAAAAAAAAGAGAAATGTGCCGACTGTCATAACTGAAAAACTACTCTGTATTGGAAGTATTTTGCTAATTTGTTCATGAGAATAAATAATTCTACTTTTCGTATAAGCACAACGTCATTCCCATGCATAAACAGCACACTGAATATGGGAGAATCAATACCTGCACAGGACTGG